GAGTAAAACGCATTTTGTCGAAAATCAGCGATAAGGCGTCAGTTGTCTAGTACATATGTTGCTATTAGAGGTCACTGGTCATACCAGGTCAGGTCACAGGTCAGGTCACCAAAGGTCACCAAGGGTCACCACATGAGCCCAACTTTACTAAGGTTATGCGATGCATGTTTTATGGCCAGTTTTTCATTTCCAACTCAATGGTGTTGGTTACAAGACCATCAGGTACGGTTTAGGTCACTTTCTGGTGGAGGTCAGGTCAAGGTCAGGTCAAAAAAGGTCAAATTTCAAAGTTGATATTTTTGCATAAAATGGGTATCGATTCGATGCAGCTCGTCAGGGGGAGTCTAATGGTGGTCTTTGTTTTGCGCTACGAGGTCTAGAATTGCTAAAAATTGAGTTTGAAAATTTGACGTCATCAATTTTGAACAGTTTTTTCGCTATAACTTGGCCAAAAAAAGAGGTATCGATCTCAAATTTGGTATGTAGATAGAAGGCGGTAGGGGCTATCACATATATTCCGGTTTTTCCGAAATTCAAAAAACTTTTTGGATTTTTTGGCTATTATATTCAAAAATTCTATTTTTTGATTTTTGGGGGTCAAAATCCAAAAAAATCAAAAACCGAAATAGCAGTTTTGTAGCCCTTTAAATTCCACACCTTTTATGTCTGAAACATTTTTCTGTATCTCTAAAGCTGTAGGCCTGACAGCTCTTCCCGCGAAACCTTTTTTTTGGGTCGAAAATGGCAAAAATGACGTCACTCTGACGTCATTAGCGGCCAACCTATTATAGCCTTTGGAAAAATTTTTGGTCACCATGTGCGCTAGCTGCTCCCGGGAGGGTACTGAAAGTTTGGTGACGATCGGCGCAGCGGTTCTCGAGATATATCGAAAAAACTAAAGGGGGGGGGCAAAAAATGCCCCCCCCCCCCACCGCCTGGAAGGTTAACAGATGTAGTACGGTTGGGAGAGTTTTTATCGAACAAAAATGATAGACGTTCTGTTAATTGAAGAGGGGCGAATTCTGTCAACTGACCGGTGTGCAGCGTGCAGATATTGCTACTCTGCAACTGTTATTTTTGCTGTTGTGTTGATTTTTCAAGTGAAGGTATGTTTAGAATTGTTCTGCCTATTTGTTTATGGGTCAAACAACATCGGTGCTGGCGAGACTATCGTTTTTATGACAGGTAAAGGCATTATGTTCAAATTACCCCACGGTGGGGCAATTTGAACACACCGTGACTTGGTGGAGAAGTGAGGCTATGCTATTCAAGGTATGCTCGGCTCGTCCAAAAATGAGGCTTGCATGGTGAAAGCAAGTGACACTTGCACTACTGAAGCAGTTTTTCTTCATCCAGGGTTGAACTGGAATTTGGTACAACGGAGAAGACGTAAAAATATGTTCAAATTACCCCACACTACCCTATTCGAATTTGTTTGTCCGCGTAGTACGATCTATGTTATTCAATACCGGGATACGATTTATCTAATGATTATCTCCAAAATAGTGGTCGGGTAAATCTAGTCGCACGTTAATGCGGTTGAAAGACAATTGCGGCTCGGTGGTGACGATAACTGTATCCCTCGGCGAAACGGAATGGCCATTGTATTATCTGATGAAGCTGAGAATACATCAGCGAAACGTCTGAAGTTAGGTATTTAATTTTTATACCTATATGGCCTTTTGCTGATACGTATATATATATATATATATATATATATATATATATATATATATATATATATATATATATATATATATATATATATATATATATGGTGGCGGAGGATATATATATATAGATATATATATAGATATATATATATAGATATATATATATATAGATATATATATATATATATATATAGATATATATATATATAGATATATATATATATATGGTGGCGGAGGATATATATATATATATATATATATATATATATATATATATATATATATATAATCTTGCTAAAACCTGTTTATGATTTTTAACTTATAACAGGTATACGAAGAATAATATTCTATCTTCCGTTGGGACTAAACATGGTGGCGGAGGATATTACGCGTTCACCAATCATATTGCGTTCTTAAAAAACAGCTGCACGCTGATTGGCTGACACTGGCCTCTTCGACAGCCGCTTTTTAGATGTCTGCGAAAAAGAGGACGGGGGAGGCGACCACCCCATCCCCTGGACCGGCGAGGGATAAAGGTCCAAATAAAGGCTACTGAACGATGTGGTAGAAGTTTTTTCCGAAACAATCGAAACGACATAGTGGACCTAGTCTTTAACAGGACCGATTGCTATTAGCCAGCCGAAATGTCAGTCCAACGAACCAAACCCACGTAGCTTTAAAGGTAGTGTGCCAGCTTTCCTGGACCGTATGGAGTTAGTGGCCCAGATAAGGAGAACCGGATTTTTAGAACTTATCCATACCTTCAAAACTCATGGAAACGTCTTAAATTCTTCAAATTTTGAGTACCCCATTGCGAAATTCGCCCCGACGAATTGTCGGTCGTACCCCAACCACATTTCACACCACTATGAACAATAAATGCACACACTGAAATCGCTATTACCGATAGGCTCATCCAATCAAGTTTCGATAAACCCGTCCATCATCATCTCCTGCGGTTTCGAACACGCCTGTTAGGTGGTGCGGTAGACCGCGCCCAAAGCCAGGGCCCCGGTAACGTGAGGTAGCCGAGTGGGGGCTGCGTGCGCTGACCCAAGCCGGGGCCGCGGCTTTTGGCGCGGTCTACCGCATCCCCGGGCTATCACATGACACCGGGAGGACGCGCGGCCCCGGCTTGGGTCAGCGCACGCTGCCCCGACTCGGCTACCTCACGTTACCGGGGCCCTGGCTTTGGGCGCGGTCTACCGCAGGTGGCTTCTGCTCATACTTTGTGGTGCGGTGGTGGTGCGTCGGGCCGCGCGCTCTGACTTCGGCCAAGAAAAATGCGTCAGCTGATCATTGTCATTTCTGCCACTTTCATGTGGTGAGATGGGGTCATAACTTTAGAGACGGCTGTTTCATATCAATTATTTTACATAAAATAATATTTCAAACCATAAATTAATGTTCGACAGCCAAATTAAAGAAACAATACCAATACAGGCTTACAGTTTAAGTTCGACATTGTGTTGTCTACGATTAGACAGCTGATAACTCATTCCCGTACGTCGTAACTCTATAATGACCTTTGCTTGTCACATGTGCGCCGCATTCGCGATTGTTGCCGACGCCTGTTTGCACGTCAGCCCACTACAGTTGTTATACATATCGAAAAACCGATAAACTTTTAGGCGAAAAAAAGCACTATTCCAGGCCCATTGTTGATTTTTTGCGATATTAGGTAAAAACAGAAGCTTCTTATCCTAGGAAAAATAAAATGGGAAATCTTTGAAGGTGGCACACTACCTTTAAATTAAGGTAAGTAAACGTTAAGCCAGCATACATCAGAGCAGCAAAACTTCAACGCAAAGGACTGAAGAAGAGCACGGTCTGTGTCGGTAAGAAAGATGGTATCTTAACAGTGCGGCAGATGTTGCGCGCAAAGCAGCATATACCACCACAGTTTTACAGAAGTTTTAGTATACCTAATGTTTTAAAATTGCGGACCGCGGACACATGTGGACCGCTCTTCTCGTCGGTCCGCATGTGTCTGATGAGACTTGATTGAACAATGAATCGTGCCTTGCAGAAACAGCAGCCATACAGCTGCTCCCCCGTGTGGGTCCGCATGTGTCTGTTGATGACTGCCGGTCTCGCGAACCGTGCCGTGCAGATGGAGCAGCCGTACGGCCGCTCCCCCAGTGTGGGTCCGCATGTGTATGGTGAGGCTGGATCGAGCAGTGAACCGTCCAACGCAGACAGAGCAACCAAACGGCCTCTTCCCAGTTTGAGCACCTACGCATCTGTTTGGTTAGGTTTGACAGCGAAGCGAAGCGAACCGTGCCGTGCAGGTTGAGCAGCCATATGGCCGCTCCCTCGGATGGGTAGGCATTTGTTTCATGAGACTTCCCCGTTGAGCGAACAAAGCCCGGCAAGTTGAGCACTGAGCAGCCTTACGGCCGTTCCTTCCTGTGACTGTGGGTACGCATGTGTTTGCTGAGACTTCCCCGTTCATTGAACCGGGCCTGGCAATGTGAACAGCCGTACGGCCTCTCCCCAGTGTGGGTTCGAATGTCGTATCGAGGTGTGACCGTCGAGTGAACCGTGCCTTGCAGATGGAGCAACCGAAAGGTCGCTCTCCAGTGTGGGTCCGCATATGTGTCGTAAGGGTTGGCTGTTGAGCAAAGCGTGCTGTGCAAACGGAGCAACCGTAAGGCCGCTCCCCCGTGTGGGTACGTAAGTGTTTGTTGAGATCTCCCCGCCTAGCGAACCGAGCCTGGCAATGTGAACATCCGTGCGGCCGCTCCCCAGTGTGGGTCCGCATGTGATCGGTGAGACCTGACCGCCTAGAGAACCGTGCCTTGCAAATGAAGCAGCCGTATGGCCGTTCCCCTGTGTGAGTTCTGCGGTGGTTTTTCATACAGTTGGACCTGTCGGTCGAGTATTGACACCACTCGCACTTCAATCTGCCGTTCCTGCCCATATGGCCGTGACTTCTCTTCACGTGTCCGTCCAGACAATGTTTTCCCAAACATCTGAAGCCGCATTGGGGACATTGGACCGAGCCACTGATGCCTGAAGAATACACAGAAAGAAGAAAGGCCATTAAAAAAACGTTACATGCTAAAGCAGGTCGCATTATGCGACCTGCTTTAGCATAGAACGACCTAACCTGGTTAGGTCGCAAGCCGAAATGCCAGTTCAAGTTACGAACCGAGCCGATGTAAGTTGGCATATAAACGTCGTGCCTGCATACGTCAAAGTAGCAGAACTTCTCAACGAACCGGGCAAAAAACAGTCTACTGTCGTCGGCAGAAGGGTAAATGGCATTACCAGCGTCACTTCGATGGACACCATAGCTCTCGGAGCCGCAAACGATGAACTGACCTGAAGATGAAGGTCCGGCCGGAGAGGAAGTCACAGACTCCCCAGACGTCTCCGAGTGGACGGTCAGCTCCCGGGCCGAGTCGTCTCCGTAGTACACCAGCAGCTCAGAGCCCCGCGGAATGGCCTTTGACGTCCTGCATAGGGAGATAAATATAGCATTATTGATGAAAGCTTGATTGGTGTAGTCACAACACTTACACTGTCATTAATAACTTCGACGAATCCATTAAAGAAAAATATGGGCCACAGGACGAACCGCGCATAAAATACGTAACGCAGTTAGGAAGAATAGATCCGTGGATTCCAAGACTACAACGCACCTGAAGTATACCTGGCCCCGGTACTGGAAGGCCACTAGGTTTTGTTCTTCCTCCGAGCGGGCACAGTTGACCCTTCTGAGCCAGTTGCTGCAGCTCGGGTCTTCGGCATTCACCGAGTGATGCACGCGCTTACCCTTCTTGATCTGTGGTACCAAACAAAAACGTAGTTCATCATTTCAAAGAAAAAAGTAAAAATATGGCATGTGCAATGAAAACATTATAAAATTTATATGTTGCTATCATTGGTCTTAAAATGTTTTTTTTTAATAGCTTTTATCGTTGAAGTAAGTTTAAAGTGAAAATATGCGTTTTTTACCTGCAAAACAAAACAACTGAACTGACCTGCCATCTGTACCCGGTTGTTCGACTTCGGGCCTGACCCTGCTCGGTGGTCAAGGTGCCCTCGTAAGGACCGAGTCTTTGGCGCGCAGGTATGTCCTTCTCCGCCAAAACTCCTGGAATCAAATAAATACAAGCCTTCACCTCAACTAAATGGACACAACATGTACTGATACATGGGACATGAAATCATACAACACAAGCAACCATCACCAAATGATGCATCAAATCAAACGTCCAGCAGCAGTTGTTACGTATCGCCATTTGTCTTGCCTCATTAACTTACCGGTGCCAGACGCTGGATTTGTCGACGGACCAGAGCTGAGAGAAGGCGGGAGAGTCTTGACGTCCCTGTCGACATCTCCGATACCGCGTCGTGCCTGGAATGTTCAGCGCATGTGGGGCGCAATGTCGACAATACAATCAATGCATTGAGATTATCTTAAGCCTGTTTGTAAATCAGACGGGTATGTTTTGTGGATATAGATCATGAACCTGTTCTTGACCACGTACCCATGACAGTATTACCTGCTAACAAGACAGAAGCAAAGCAATAATATAACTATGAGCATGGATTAGAGTAAATACTTCATCCATGCTATGAGGAAGAGGATTACGTAAATGTGAAAGAAATAGATCATTTTTACATGAAGCTCATGTCGTTCCGTCACTAGGGCATCAGGCACAATTGGTCATATTATTTAATGTCTAAATAAGAGAGGAGTCATGTGTAAAGAATACGAATCAGACCAGTATGGACCAGTCCTTACCTTGGTATCGTGTATGATCTTTAGCGGTCCATGGACGGGACATTCACCGTCCCAATCGCGGCAGCACACGTCACAAACTGTCAGAAAGAAGGGCGAAAAAAGTATTAGCGATTTGATGAAGAGCAGACCAAGGTTTAATCGTTCAAGGTTCCGTTAGACGGAAACAATGCGTCTGTATTCGGTTTAATTTGTCTGCAATATGAGTGCTTGTCGTGTACATTCGCCCGTTGATGAGGACAAGGTAGCTGACTAAAAATGGGAGAAATACTCACATATGTTACTATCATCGAGACCATCCACATCTCGGTAGTTAATGACGAGACGTTGACTCTTGATGAACACTCCTTCAGCAAAAACTGCAATAAATTCAACAGGGTAATCAATAATTCGGTGGCATTTCGGTAACGCGTCAGTTCAATAGAGTGCATGCAATTGAACATAAGAATGGTTCGATAATGTCATTCAATCACTTTGTAGAGTACGAAACCAAAAATAAAAATAAAACTTACATTTTCTCTGAAAAGGGCACAAAAGTAAGACCGAGGATATCACGATAAACCCATTGCTTACAGTCTCTTCACAGTTATATAAACTTACCTTCAGTAGAGTCTCGAATGGCAGACGAACAACCAAGTAACAGACTCCTTTTTGCATTGGAGATGAAACAGGCACTGAAAGAACAGACAAATGCAAATATTATTAGAATTCATCAAGGATAATATATCATTGTCTACTATGTCAAATAACTAAAATTTCAACAACAGCACTGAATCATGCCCTAACCTGTCCCGGTCCACCTCAGTGAACCCGATGAAGTCCTCAGACGGTGACGGTGATCGAGGTCGGTACTTTTCCTCCTTCACTAAAGAATGCAGAGCGCGGTCCGAGAAAGGATCGTCGTCCGACACCGAGGGAGACGACGGCCGCTCAACCTAGACCGGATCAACAGACAAACAATATTCAATGAAACATGAGATGTTTATCCTCCACAGATATACAAATTGGAACACATTATGCGCTGTCATTCCCTTTTATTAACCTCGCAGCTAAAAACCAATGAGAGGTGAGCACCATGCATTTGAACACGTACCCTTGGTGAAGTGACTTCAATCTTTATCTCCTCCTTCACAACTGGCCGAAAGTCGCTCTCAGAGCCACTGTCTATGGGAGTGCAGTTCCTCGGCCTCTGAGACTTCCTCACACTCTGTGACGGACCCCATTCCCCGTCGCTGTCAGCGGAGCCCTCCAGAGACCACTTTGGTCCTTTTGGTGACATTGATGCAGCCCGCATGAGCGGCAGTAGTTCAGACACTGGTGGATCTGGAATAGGGTCCAATGTCCTTTGTCAGTTCACATTGAGTTGACTAAATGAAAGCACAAAACGGAGAAGTTATGTAGCAAGAAAATACAAAGTTATCACCACCAATAATTGAATATTCCTTATGGAATTAATACCCATAAAACATCTCTCAATAATGACAATGACATGGTTTGCCAACAAGAATGCAGCAGGAAAATAATGGAGGTGCTCCGATACCTAGCATTTAGATCCTGGCTTTATATGAAAAAACTGTAGCCTCAAATGATCTCTGATGACCTTTCTAGAGGGCAGGCTAGCAGTCAAAGACACCTTTGTTGTCACAAGTTGTCCAAATCATTGCGATTCTGAAATATTTTTATTGTTCCTCCTGACCTGGCAGGCTGACATGACCTCAACCTGGGGTCAAAAATTTCATATGTTGTCAAAAAATGATGAACTACAAGCTACTCCAAGCGGTGAGGCGCTTCGCACCAGTTTTTTATTCACACGCAAAAAACTGGACAGGGTGGTAACAAATGCCCCCCCCCCCCCCACTGAGGCAAAGGTTAAAACTGGGTAAATACTATTAGAATTGTCTCGTGGCGACCTACATGATGGTACTTTCCATTTCCCACTGTTGAAGCTTCTTCCTTACCCATGGATGCCTAGACAAAATCATAGCGTCAGGTTTGAGGTTAGGTAAGGTCTGGTTACCGTAAAACGGGGTGTTAAGGGACAGTTTTGAGGTGTTTTGTTATATAACTCAAGAAGGGTTGGAGATAGAAGCATCAAATTGTCAGCATTTTATGTGGAATTTGGTGCTTTACATGCCTGCCACAATAAAGTTTTTAAGATTTATACCTGCATATTATTTTTCATTATTTTTCATCACTGTCCCTTAGCACCCCAATGTGGGGTGTTAAGGGACACCTATATTATTCCAAGAAATGGTCATCAAATGCACACAATTGGGGTGTGGAAGGGCACACAATTTATTTTTTGAAATGTTTTGCATATTCTGTCACAAAGCAAGTCAGGTTCATTCACCACTTATGACCTTTTTAGCCAATTACGTGTTATGCAGTTTACGCTTGTGGAAAATGTGCTAATTATAAGGTAAACATAACCAAAAAGTAATCTTCTGTCATCAATAAAAACCCATGTTTAAGCTAGTCACTTGTCATTATGTTGCCCTCTTTGTTTTAGCCTTTTCATGATGACATCACATATACCTACATCAGTCTCCATTAACCCATCATTGTAAAAGAGAGTGTTGAGATGTTTTGTTACATAACTTAAGATGTGTTAGAGATAAAAGCATGAACTTGCCAGCATTTTATGTGGAATTTGGTGTTTTCCATGCCTACTGAAAGAAAACTTAATGAAATTATATTTAGATATTAATTTTTATTTTTCTTCCCTGTCCCTTAGCACCCCACATCCATCTCAAAATATGCATGTATCCGGAGAAGAGGAAGAGGATGATGAATGAATGGGTGGATTTGCACAAGTTTTTCAGGAAACATGTGCAATACATGTGACAATACACCTATGCATTCATTTTCCCTGTACACCCACTAGTTTATGTGGTACACAGAGAGTTTTGGAGATGTTTCAATTTTGTGAAAATGTAGCATGATTTTCAAATCCATTTTGAACCAAATCACTTGCATGAAAAACCATACCATTTTGTCCTATGGTCAAGAGCAAAACAGTGTCAACTACCACACTGAAGTTTTTATTGAACCTTCTCAAATTAGTAAGTTAATATGACTCAAAGTTTTTCCCATGCAGCTGTCCCTTAACACCCCACTGTCCCTTAACACCCCATTTTATGGTATGTTTCTTTTTTAATATTTTGGAGACACCTACCTTACCATCATATCTGGATTTAGCACATTAAAGGGACCCTCCCACCTTCAAAAAAGTTAATGAATTGGCATAGAAGTGATGTCCCTTGGTTCGGAAATATCAAAAATGAATATGTACCAAATTTCACCGTAAAATATTCACTGGATTTCAAGATATTAGGCTTTTACTTTTGTTTACTTTTTGGAATCTCTGCTGTTCCTAGCGACTATTTGAAAGTGCGGCACTTGTTGCGCTTAAAACAGCATATTCCACAACGTGCTACCAAATGTTTTAGTAAAACATTTAAAATCATTAGATCTCCGCTGACATCACAAATTCTAAGGGGGCATTCCGGTGCAGTCGCCCCTTAGAATCCGAAAACTGCAAGTTTGAAATTCCATATCTCCAAATTAAAGCATTTTTCGATGTTGTTGTGAGTGCCCAAACCGGTACTGAAGGCCATGGCCACCAATTTGGCTATCTCAACTCAAAACTAATGTTAAGGTGGGATGGTCACTTTAAAAATGGAAGAATACGTATTACGTAAGTAGGTACTACTTACTTTTGATGATGATGATTTGGAGTGACAGGGCGCACCAGCTGCGAGGCTATATCGCGCCCATTTCTTATTTGACTTTCTCAGTGTCGGGCGTTAAAAATCACCTGAAGGCCGGAGGCCGCAATAAACGAAAAGAGACGAGAAGAGTCTAGCAAAGAGGACTCGTCACCTAAGACTGCTCTCAAAGAAAGCTGGGCTCCGCGCAGGCCCAGAAACTTCAGCCGCTCAGCTTCCAGTCTCGGACACTCCAGAAAAACGTGTCGGACAGAAAGTCTGTCGCCACATCTCGCACAAACAGGTCTTGGGCCGACGCCAATAAGGTGTCCATGGGTACCGAAAGTGTGCCCTGTGCGAAGCCGACAGAGGATAACCTCCTCTCGACGCGACTTGCGCGACGCAGACAGCCAGGTTGCCAAACCCGGTTTGATGCGTAGCAGCTTGTTTGTCTGACATTTGCTCCAATCCTCCTGCCACTTTCCGCGGAAGAATGAGCTCACCGCAGGGAAAAAGTCCCTGGCCGGCAGAGGGAACCGGCGGGAGCAGGGCTGCCGCGCCGCATGGTTCGCAGCACGGTCCGCCCGCTCATTGCCAGCTATACCAACATGGCTAGGAATCCAGCAAAAAGTCACTGAGGTACCCTCTCGGTCGAGAGCCGTCAAACGGAGAAGAATCTCCTGTACGAGGGGGTCAAGTGGATAGAATTGTGTCAAGGACTGGAGTCCGCTCAATGAGTCGGAGAGGACAAGATATGACCGAGCGGGATGAATCTGGATAAAACACAAAAGTTTGAGGACGGCGACCAATTCGCAGGTAAAAACGGATGCATGTTTAGGTAAAGTAAAACATCGCACAGCGTCGCCGCAGACGAAGGCACAGCCAGCACCGAGGTCCGACTTGGACCCATCGGTGTATGCCACGGCATGGCCTGAATATGATTCAATATGTTCCAATGCCTTCGCCTTGAAGGCCAGAGGCAGAATTTCGTCTTTCCGTGTACCTGATAGGGTTAGGTCCACAGAGGGGACAGATAACCTCCAAGGCGGTTCAGGGAGGATAACAACTCGCATGATGTCCCGAGTGTTTAGACCACAATCTCGGAGGAGATCGGCCGTTCGGGTGCAGAAAACTCGAGAGCGGCTCCTCTCGTCGCCATCAAAGACTGCTAAGAGCGACCTGGAGAAAGCCGATCCGTGAGCAGGATGGGAAGGGAACTGACGAAGTTTGATGGCGTATCGCATGCCCAACATCTGCCTTCGTAAGGCCAGAGGGGGCTCGTTCGCCTCAGCTAACAAGCTGACGACAGGAGTGGTTCGGAAAGCACCAGTCGCAATGCGAATCGCTGCGTGGTGGACAGTGTCAAGGATAAGCTTGGATGAGGATGCAGCGTTGTCATAGATAAAAGATCCATAGTCCAGACGGGACCGCACCAAAGACCGATACAAAAGGAGTAGCGTGCTACGGTCAGCGCCGTAGGACGTGCGAGCAACACACTTCAGAATGTCAAGAGCTTTAAAACATCTGTCACGGAGACACTTTATGTGATTTCGGTATGTGAGTCGGCAGTCAAGAGTCATGCCAAGGAACTTGGCCTCCGCAACCACTGGTATGGCTTCACGGTAGAGCTTCACCACCATGGGTGCAGTGGGGCGACGCTTACGGGAAAACTGCATGCCCACCGTCTTTGCAGAGGAGAACCGGAAGCCGTTCTCCTTGCCCCATGCCTCCACTCGAGAGACTGCCATCTGCAGCTGACGCTCCATTGACCGGGTCGACGCCGCACTGCACCAAATAGCGAAATCGTCGACGTAAAGAGCGCGGCCGATGGCTGGCGAAAGGACTCTTTCGATGTCGTTGATCATGACACCAAAAAGCGTCACGCTGAGCACACCGCCTTGTGGGACTCCATTAATCTGGGCGAACCGCTCAGATAACTGATTGCCCACTCGAACACGGAAGAAACGATCACCAAGAAAACTGCTTAGAAAATGACCCATCGTGCCTCGAATGCCTAGCTTATGCAGCTTCTGTAAGATACCGAAACGCCAAGTGGTATCATACGCTGCTTCAATGTCGAAGAACAAGGCGCCTACTTGACGGCCTTGTTTAAAATTCGAGCGGACAACTGAGTCAAGAGTAAGAACGTGGTCGACAGTACTCCGGTGCTTTCTAAAACCACACTGAGAATTGGCAAGAAGTCCGTGCCGCTCCAGATGCCAGGTAAGTCGGATATTCACCAGCTTTTCCAACAGCTTTCCAAGGGCGGATGTGAGCGCAATTGGCCGGTAGTGCAGAGGGTCCAAGCCGCTCTTCCCTGCTTTCAGAACAGGGATGACAACTGCCTCCCGCCAGGAGTTTGGGTAAACACCCGTCATCCATAGGAGGTTGAACAGCTGAAGGAGAGCATCCAGAGCAACCGGAGGGAGATGGCGAAGCATCTCATTGTGGACAGAATCCGGGCCTTCTGCGACACATTTAAGACAGCTTATAGCTGACTTGAGCTCAACCATTGTAAAAGTATCGTTGTAGCTCAAAACGTCGGAGGTGCTAAAATTGACCCCAGAAGCTTCACAAGACGAGCGGTGCCTGACAAAGGATTCGTCGAGGGACTCA